AGCACTCCCCTGAAGTCCCAAAGTGCCTGCCTGCTCTGAGGAGCCCTGTCTTTCCCAGCCCAGATCTGCCTCAGGCAGCTTAGTTCTGTCTGAGTGGGCCCTGGGTTTCCAGCTTCTCTACAACCCCTTCTACCCAGCAGAGTTCACGAGGAGTGGCTGGGGATCCTTCTTGTTCAGTCCATTTACTCAAGGGCCTCTGCCCTGTAGCACTGGAGCCACAGCAGGAAAGAGCCCTAGGTGTCCCCAGATGCGCAGTCGCCATGGTCTGTCTTTCCAGGCTTGCCTCTTTTGTCCTTACTCACCTACCCTTCCCCATGGTTGATGTGCCCGGGCTATTCAGGGAATGTGTTGCTCATGCAATCTGTCTTAGGAAGAAGCTCTTAGCTGGCCCTGTCTAGAAAACTCTTGCCTTCTCTAAACAGAAGAGCTTGGCTCTATCTAGAAAACTGTGAAAGTCCTTTTCTTCTTGTCTTCACTTTCAAAAACATGTTACAGGTTGGTTTTCTAAAATTTTATGAAAAAGTCAAAATTTCATAATTAATAGAATAGCTATAGCTAATACATTACATGTTGGTATCTTTGAAATAGGTGCTCAGAGTACAAGATATGGACAAAAAAATTTTCTGATTAGTTATATTATTAGTGTCTCTTAAGTCATTAAAAAGAAAGGTTTGCGCTAAGAGATTCATTTTTAATAACTCCAGTAGTCCCTCTGTGAAACTTTGTTCTCCCAGTTGACTTCAGGGCTTTTCTGGTACAACTTCCTTCCTCCAGAGGGAAGAGGAGCTGGTCAGCATTATTTCCTTCAAAGTCTGTGCTTTTAATGACCAACACTAAGTCTTTCAAAGACAACATGTTCTCTAGACAACAAAAAGCCTTTATCTTTCTGCATATATTGCGTTTTCCAGTTTTTTGTGTGTCATGACTGACCTCGTAAAAATTATAGCATCAGACAGTGAAGAGTGATAAAGGGAAGCATAAGACAAAGCATTTCTGGAAGGGCTTAGAATCTCTCCTAAAAGGAGAGGGAAAGTAAGCCTATGTGAAATGTACTTAACACATTTATGCACATGACATAACTAGTCGTACAAATGATGCTGAAGAGTATTAGAGATGACATGAGCAAAGTTTGTGTAACTGTTGTGAGAAGGAAAATGAATGGTGTTTGGAAGTAAGAAGGGCCTGGAAACTGGAAGAAGGGAAACTGGAAATTCCTTTTGTGTTTGTTAATTGTGTTCACGGAAGTACCCTTCTCTGAATCTAACTCAACACCTGGCTTATTTTGGGCCCCCAGTAAGTGCTTGTTGACTGTATAGTGACCTCGTCATACAAATTTCAGGGTACTTGTGCAGAGAGAGTTGTAAGTAGCAAGACACATTATAGATATGCTACATTGTAGTTTTTTGTGCCTACTGGACATAGCTCACTTGTGTTCCTGCAAATCAGCAGAAGTGAGAGCTCATGTAGAAATGACTCTCCCACCCAATCTCCCCGTTCACGCCTTAGCTATTACCCCACCACCACCACATTCCTTTCATTCTGCTTTATTTAAGGATGTCATTACTTAGCAGTTACCTTTCAAAAGGATTATTCCAGCTATAGCTTGGTGGTACAGCATGCACTTCATAGATGTGAAGCCCTGGATTCAATCCCCAGACCTGCAAAGAAAAGAAAAAAAAATGCTGGGTCTTCCCATTCAACCATCCCCAAACATCCTCCCTGTCCCCATGTTAGAGTATCACACTCTGCCACCCTCAGAGCCCTACTGAAAGACTGTCCTATGTTTCCTTTTCTGACTGTATCAAGTCACTGAGCAAATGCTAAAGTACAGCATGTTCAGTAATAGCAACAGTCTGTAAATTGTGCTATATTCTGAAAGGAATCCTGGAATGGAAACAGCTGGAAGTCTGTAATTTATATAATAATTAACTTCTGAATTTAAATCAGTGGCCCATAGTTATATAAGATGTAAACATTAGAGAAAACTAGGTGAATGATATGAAAGTATGAATATTTACAAATGAAAAGGAAATTCGCATTAGTCGTCTCAATTTTACATATCTCCTTCCTCTTCCTGTACCCCCAAGAAACTGGAAGAAGCATAGATTTTTGGACCTAGAAAATCTTAGCCTTAAGTCAGGCGTGGTAGTGTACGCCTGTAATCCCAGCACTAGAGAGGCTGAAGCAAGAGGATTGTTATGAGTTCGAGACCAACTGGGGTTCCAAAGTGAGCTCAAGGCCAGCCTGAACTGCGTAGTGAGACTGTCTCAAAAAAGAAAAAATCTTAGCCTTGAATTCTAGCATTGTGACGCTGGCAGATCAGTCTTGGTTCTGAGTGCTAGTCCTCTTCTGTAAAGTGGAGGTTATACTTCTTATGCTGGGCCATTGTGAGGACTGAGTGAAATTTGTATTTCAAATTTGCAAGTGCAAATCCCAAATTGGGCTCTTATTATTCGTATTTAGTAACAAGAGCATCATGATGAATAGCTCTCTTAATCATTTGTCCTATTGTGTGTTACTGGAAATACAGATTGGTTATATTTCTTGATCTCTCAAAGGACAGTGGTACACCTTCCACAACAGAGGACTTTTGTTTGGGGAAGCTAATGCCATATGGAGGAACTGAGTATTTTCCTTCTACTTTACCTAGCTCTCCAGGACTGTGCTGTGCTTCTTGCCATGGGTACAGCCCTGAACCATCAGCGTTGTAGAGAGCCCAGCCTCAGGAACTGTATTCCATTTCCCAGAATATGTTTCTTAGCCACTTTCTTAGTCACTTTCTTAGCCTGGTTTCTTTTCTGTAGGGGAAAGTCATGCTTTTCCAAAGGTCTCTTCAGTATCTGTCCTGCTATCCAGGAGAGCTCCAAACTATAGAATCCACCAGCCCAGTCCTCCGTGGGATAAGGACTTTGTCTAACTGAGCCAATGCCTGCTTTTCCATGGCCCAGTACAGTACTTGGTGTATAGTATGTGTTTAATCAGTATTGGATGGGTGAGACAATAAGACAGTTTAAATCTCTAGGATTTGGCAATGATGCGTGCTTAACTGAAAGGACCAAATAATGAATTTGCAGTGACCTAGATATTAGGCCAGTGATTCTAAACCTTGGATGTACTCTTTCTGGGAGAATACTTGTTTTATTTTTAGTTTGGTACTGATTTCTAGGCTCAATCATGCATGTTCTCTGTCATTTTATAAAAGCTCTGCAAGTGATTCCGATGGATAGCCAGAGTTGGACTCTACCATGTTAGACTATTGTTTAAAAAAAAAGTGTATATCATACATAACTCTTAGCATTTTCTGTTTCTGTGCTGTAGTTATCAATTTGTGTGTCCCTACACAAATTGACTTTATGCTTTTTTCCCCCAGTACTGGAGATTTCCCCACCAGCGGAGTCCTGAGCTACATCCCCATCCCTTTTTAACTTGAGACTGGGTCTAGCTAAGTTTCCCAGCGAGGCTTGAACGCGTAGCCCTGCTACCTCAGCCTGTCAGACAGCTAGGACGTCAGGCATGTCCACACCTGGCTGACTTGAACTCAGACACCAGGGCTATCTTATTCATAATTATATTCCTAGTGTGTGGCACCGTGCTTGGCATCTAGTGGTAGTCATAAATGTTAATTGAATAAGTTAATGGTTTCTTTCACTTAATATACAAGATAATTGCATAGAACCACAAAAGACAACCAGAAAAAATACTAGCACCCTGAGTTTAGTTTTGGATTTACTTTGTGTGGTACTCTAAAACTATGCTTTGATTCATAATCGGTTTTTTCTTATTCACCCAATCTAGATGCTTTAAACTAACAGTGCCAAAGATACAAAGACTTTATTGGGGAATCCCAATTCAGATTATTTCCCCATCATTTACATCTATACCCAGTATATTAATCACCTTTGCTTTGCCAGGAAAAATAACTGACACCCACAACTTATAGTAGAGGTTTCAATCCATGGTCAGCTGGCTGCAAAGTAAAAACATCATGGCAGAAAAGTGAGGCAGAAGAAGGCTGCTCAACTTGGGGCATCTGAGAAGCAGCAGAAAAGGTAGAGAGAAAGCAGCCAGGGACCAAATAGATTCCTTAAGGTTAAGCTGCTAGGACCCACCCAGACCCAGCCAGAAGTGTGCTTTATTAACCTCCTGAATCTCTCTCAAGTCAATCAAGTGGATTTGAAGAATTATCATCACTGTGTATTTCAGGTGGCTCATTAAGGTGATGCTCAGCACCACTGTTCTCCATTAATGAAAATCATAGAAGCTTCTAGATAAACACACAGGTTGCCAATGTTACTCAACTCTAATGTCAGTTAATTTAGGCATCATGCAGTATGACAGCCAGAAAGAGATTTAGAAGCATCATATTTAGGGCCCTCATTATACAGTGTAGAAGCTGGAGCCCGGTGGGTCTGGGACTTTCCTGACATTACACAGTTTGTTAGGAACACAGCTGGTACAAAAAGCCTGATGCTCTGGTTCACAAGCCTGTACCTACTCCATAGTACTATGGCATTTCAAATGCCATTAAAAGTGAAAGACTAGGTTTGGTCCTCAGCACGTTAAAAATAAAAAGACCCGCCAGGTACAGTGGTGCACACATGCTATCCTACTTTCTCAGGAAGCTGAGACAGGAGGATCGCCAAGTTCAAGGCCAGCCTGGGCAATATACCAAAATCCTGTCTTAAAATAAAATTTGAAAGAGGCTGGGGAAGTAGCTCAGTGGTAGAGCACTTGCCTAGTATGTTTGAGGGCCTGGGTTTGGTCCCTAATATTGCAAAAGAAGCACGAAACTTTTACTTCCACTCTGACATTGATGTTTGAAAGCAAACTATAAAAAAATAAAAAGATATTGTTACAGGTTTCTCAAAGGGTTTGGGGAGTAGGAGTACACGAGAAGGGGTAAGGACAGAAGAAAGCAGCTTTTTGAATGAGATTTTAAACCTTAAAAAAGTGAGTCTCGTGGCACAAGAGTTCACTGGTGTATCTGCCCTCATTTTCAGAATCTTCCCCCGAGAATACCTCCTTCAGCAGATCCACCTGTACTCCCTCGCTGACCTGCAGCAGGTGAGTACTCAGCCCACGAGGCTTTTTTCTTCCTAAGGAAGCTTCGTTGTGCGCTAGGGTCTTGCCACTGCATTCAGCCTTCTCTGGTGTATTTTTCATTTCAATTCCCGATCTTCGATTTCTATTCAGAATGGGGAAGGGGCTTGGTGCAAAATGATATTATGGGACCATAGCAGATCTTGGCAAGAGTGTGCAGAGACTAAAGCAGTCATACATTGCTGGTGGGAATGTGAAGTGGTATAGCCACTTTGGAAAAGCAGTTTGACAGTCCCTTGAAACAATGTGGAATTAAATGTGACCTAGCAATTACACTCCTTGGTATATACCCAAAAGCATTAAAAATATGTAGACATCCACATAAACATATATATGTAAGTGCTCAGTGCAGCATTATTCATAACAGCAAATAAGTGAAGCCACCCAGATACCTGTCAGCTGATGAAAGGTTGGATAAAATGTTTGCCGTACTGTGCATTACTGTTCAGCCTGGAAAGGAAAAGAAGTACTGATCCATGCTACGGTGTAGATGAGTGTTATAAAGACATCACAGTACGTGGGAGAAGCCATGTGGGAAAAGGTAGATGTTTATGGTTCTTTTTAAATGAAATGTACTAAGTAGGCAAATTAGTGGTTGCCACAATCTGGAGAAACTGAAGAAGTAAGTAATGACTGCTAATATGAGGTTTCTTTTAGGGCATGAAAGTATTCTACATTTAGACAGTGAAGACAGTTGCACAGTTTTGTGAATAGATTTTTTTAAATCAGTGAATTGTTCACTTTAAAAGTAGATTTTACAATATTAGAATTATATTTTATTAAAAAATTACTTAAAGAAAAATGTGAAAGGTATTGATACATTAAATCTTTTGACTTGTGCTCAAGCCAAATAGTTAAATAGCTTTTATAGTTTAATAAAATATAACAGAGCATGTAAGAATCCAATCATCTTTACTTACTTTTATTAGTACATGTGCTTTTAATAATTGACCAGGTTAGCAGTTGGAAGACGCTGAGGTTTCCTGTGTTCATTCTCAAGTTCTGAATAGGTTAAGCTCTGGTTAATCATTTAAACAACAACTACTTAAGAAGCTGTGAGACACTAAATGAAAACATTGCTTTCGTTTCTATGTATGTATTGATTTTCCCAAGAGTCAGTTTTTAAAAAAATAATCGTGATAACTTTCAGAACGTCTCAAATGCTGGGATTCTATTCTTTTGTTGTTTTCCTTTCTTGTTTTTACCAGAATAATGGGGTCAACTTAAAAAATCAAATTCATGTCCTTCAGTCATTTTTCAGAATTTATTTTTCAAGGTTTCTTGTGTGTACATCCTTTTTTTTTAATTTTAAAATTAAGGGGGCTGGGGATTTAGCTCAGCAGCATAAGCGTCTGCCTTGCAAGCAGGCAGTCGTCAGTTCGATCCCCGGTACCCATAAAAAAGGAGAAAGACAAAAAAAAAATTTTTTTTTAAATTAAGACTTTTGTGTTCTTTGTTCCTCTGGAGATAAGAGATTTATTTTAAATGGCAAAAATAATTTTAGAACAGTTAGTTGGGGAGGGGTGAAAAGACACTTAATTTCTATTTGTGCGTCGTGTAGACCTGTTTGCACATGCCAGCTCCTTCTGCTCCTCAGTCCTGCCTGCTCTTTATTGTGGGGTCAAGTGGCAGTTACCTGCTGTCTGGGGTGGAAAGGGACATATTTTTAATTACAATTATCCAGTGGTGGTCAAGGAGGAAAATTGATTAGAATACCCATTATACATTTATCTGCTTCCTCATGTCTGGTCATAGTGTCTGAAAACCCAGATGCCGTTGCTTGGTGTTTAAAGGCAGGAAACATTCTCGCAAAGGCAGTTGAAAGTAGAACATGTGGGCTCCAGAGTAAATACCCTTTAGGAGGCCGTTCCGAAGCAAGGTTCAATATCAGATGAAGAAGAAGAGTCAGAGTAATTCCATATTCATTTTAAGATGTCAAAGTGATGTTTCCATTTGGAATAATAAAGCCTGCTTTTTAAAGCCTTCCTATATCCTGCTGTCTTTTTCTTTTCTTCCCCTTGTAATAATCAAGCCCTACGAGCCAAGCAGCTTACTTAAATCAGTGACAGTGGTGTTCTTGGGTAGACCAAGCCATTAGCCCCAGATCCCCATAAGCAGCTTAATCAGTTTCAGCCTGGGCAGTAAAGTGATAGAGGCAATCAACAGCTTATCAAACTCCCTGTGGGCGGGGTGGCTGAAGCTCAATGCATCCATTTACTTAGCCACTCATTCTAACCTGGCTCTTTGTGCCTGGCTTTAAAAGCCCCAAACTTATCATATTTAGAGGAAGTTTAATTCAATTACTTTTTCTGCCTGAGGTGGGTTAAATTGGATTTAGCTTTTGGTCTGTCTGTGTCTTTCCTATCAACACTGAAGACTTATCTTTCCTTGGATTCTGAGTAAATAAGGACTGTGTTTTCTAGGTCTGAACCATTGTAGGAAATAAGGAAGGGAAGGGAAACAAGGAGAAATATTTTTTTTTTAAAAAGTGCTTTACTTTTGCAAGAGTGCATTAGCCATGGCAGGAGACCTTCCTAACCCATCCAACCACCAGGCCCCATGCAACTCTGCACCACCTCAGCCTCTCCCTGGCTGCCTTATCACTCTATTAAATGTCAGGTTCAGAGTAAATATGATTTCACTTCACCTAAAGGTTTCTGTATGAGCAGATCTTTCTTATAAAATAATTATAGGAAAAGGAATTTTGGTATACAGACTTTCATGGGAAAGAAATATACATTAAACTAAGTGATTAAAGGATTATAGATCCTGAAAAATAACACCAATATTCTTCCTAAAGGCACAAATTCCTTTCTATAAATTTGATTTTTCCATTAACTTTTACTTAAAAAAGCAAAATATACATATTCCTCCCCAAGAAGGAAAAAGTCAAAAACTTAATGAGCATGATAAAAAGGGATATAAAATTTTATAGGTAATGTAAGAATAATATTATACACAGAACACTAATCATACTTAAAGATGTTAAAACTATTCTGGTACCAAAAAATACTGCAGTCTTCTTGTCTCTCTTTGGATTCATATATATATCCAAGGAACAATCCCTACACTTTTAACAGATAAACTCAACAATTTCGCTAAATATTTCAAACTGCTGTAATGCATCAGTTACATTCAAGACTCTCCACTCCCTTCTTGTTATTTGAATTTACTGTCTTCTTTGCATGCATTCTGTCTTAATATTGTGCACTTGGAAGGGAAGGAATAAGTAGCCAGGACTGGCAGTTGCCTAGCAAAGGTTATTGTTTCCTGTAGTCCTGGGAGCTTCAGTCACCTACCATCGGGCACTAAGGGCCACTTATTGGCAAAATTTATGCTGGCAATAAGTCCTTAATTATCTATTTCACTATTCCTAGCATGTGTATCAAAAAGGTATCTGGGATTATGCCTGTAATCCCAGAACTCAGGAGGCTGAGGCAAGAGGATCATTGCAAGTTCAAGACCAGTTTGGGCTACAAAGTGAACTCAAGGCCAACCTGACCTGTATAGTGAGACCCTGTCTCAAAAAGACAAAAAGAAAAAAAAAAGGTAGTGAAAGTTAATGGTTGCTGGGCATGATGGTACATGCCTGTAATCCCAGCACTCGAGGCTGAGGTAGGAGGGCTGCTGAGACTTTCAGGACAACCTGGGCTACCTAGTGAGTTTGACTGAAGGCCAGTTTGAACTACAGAAAGAAAAAAAAAAAAAAAAAAAAAACAGGTGGTGGCTGAGCAGCACACAGTGATTATCCAACAGTCATCCGTTGGCAGCCCTTAACCCTAACACGGAAGTGGAACCCAGAGCCCCCTGATCTAGTGGCAGACCCAAGACAGGCATTGCAGTGAGGTAGAGGTGCTCTAGATCCTTGTAGGAGCTTGATTCACTCATTTCTTCAGTGTGGGAATTCTGGGTGAATTTCTGTTCAACAGAGTAGGTATTAGAAAAGCACAGTGAGGGCTGGGGATTTAGCTCAGCGGCATAAGCACCTGCCCTGCCAGCAGGCGGTCGTGAGTTTGACCCCCAGTACTGGAAAAAAGGAAAAAAGGAAAAAAAAAAAGAAGCACAAAAAGTTTAATATGTGACTGCACAGTGGTTTTTTATTTTATTTTATTTATTTTTTTCACAGTGGTTTTTTAAAGACAACCCAGCTTTTTATATAGGATTTACTGAGCTTATGTAAACAAACAGACATCTGTGTTTTTAATGGAGAAACTTCTTTTTAAGAGCTTTTCTTTGGTTTGATACCTTGAGAAGTAGAATTGAATTTGTTTTATTTTCATCCTGCCTGGTTTTATCACAAATCCTTTGTCAAAACTGTAAGACAGGATTACAATGAAAAGATACACTCAAATAAGGAAGTAGGAATAGGGGGCTGGGAGTTTAGCTCAGTGGTCTAAGTGCCTCCCTGGCAAGTGTGAGGTCATGAGTTCAATCCCCAGTACCACCAAAAAAAAAGAAAAAGAAAGTAGGAGTAGTACAAAGTATGCTCAGAATACATGGTGATTGTTTAAACTAAAAAAAAATTGTCACAGTAAAAGATGCAGTGCCATTAATACTCCTCACAGTACTTACCCTTTCTTCAAACAAGTGGCATTATTCTTTCTCATGTAGTGCTAAAAATCCTCTTTTGTGAATGTCTTTACAAGGTGCCATCAAAAGTACAGTGAGTGCTGCTGCTGTGTGTCATCCAGTGGAAAGGCAGGATTGCAGAAACATGACAGTGTGTTCTCATCCACCCTGTTCACCAGACCTGCCACCACGTAACGTCCAGCACTTCCCCATGGTCAAAATGACCATGAAAGATAAATGCTCTGAATGGATTTTGGACATCAAAGCAGCCACAACAGCACAACTAAAGATAATCACAAAGAGGACTTCAAGAAGGTGTGGTGTGGTTGAAGGGAGCAGAATATACTGAGGAGCCTTAATAGAAACATTATCTTTTGCTGGAATGAATATTCTTAAAGTCTCGCTTTATACAGTACTCTCAGTGTCTTAGCCTTCCCCTTGCCCTGTTGAGTATGTGAGAAACCATCACTTTCCCTTGGCTCTTTTAACACTGGTAAGGAATTTCCAAATTTTACTAGTAGAATACCTGGACCTATGTAAATTACTGTTCAAGAACTCTTAGTTCTAACAGAGCAAATCAGAATCTTGGTGTAATGTGTTATTTCTTAGACTATAAATGATAGGAAAATTCTTCTAAAGTTCCTTCTACTTACTGAAAGAAAAGGTCAGATTGGACTTGTAAATTTTGACTACCAATATTATTGTGACAAAACCTAAACTGCAGGAAGAACTCTTCTGGTGTTACTTCCTTTGGGGCATTTGTCAGTTAAGCAGTGAATGTCAGTTATGCGTGTTTGTTTGTGCCCAGTGGTCCCAAGGGTGAGGCATTTGGTTAGAGTGGCCCCTTCTCTTCATCTGTTCACCTACACCTGGCCCTTACACACCCCTTTTGGCAAACAATCTAAGCAGCTTTGTCATGCATCATTCACCTTCCTTGGGGCCAGAATTTCCAAAATGGACCCTGCCTTTAGATTAAGGCAGTTTAGGTTCTGGTAACAACATAAAATTATCGAAGAAGAGTAAAGTATTACTTTGGCCCGAATTCGTTTTTCCTTAATATGTTGAAAACACAACATAATATTTCAAAGGAAAGACATCAAGTGATTTTAATCATGAAAACAGATGGAAGGGAAAGTCCAGAATTCAGAGTAAAGATATGTAACGTGGGAAGGATGCCAAAAGGGTAAAGCACAGCATGGAGACCCATGAAGAAAGAAGAAATCCAATGTACACTATCTTTCTGGAGTTGTCTAGAATGGTCCCAACTGCTTGTCTTACATGACAGTAGTAGTGAAGGCATGTATGAAACAACTTACACATAACTCACAGAGCATTTGGCCACTGGATGGATGGACAAATGGATATATACATATGTACACATTCCCTCTCGAACTCACTTGCTCTCCCCACAAAGAAAAGCAAACTAATTACTGTTATGCGCTAAACAAAACAAATGCCCATCTATGAAATCCCCACCACCACCACAACAAAAAAAAAATGGTTTTTGTACATCAGAATAATGGTGAGTTGTCTAATGTTGTAAACTTTTGCATACCCAGGAGACATTCTTGAACAGCTAACTTCTCCATTCAGTTTTTTGCTAGTCCGCATACCAACATAGCTCAGGAGTTGTCATCTGTGTGACCTAAACCGCTGTCAGAACTGGCCCCTACAGAAATGCTGCACAGCATTTTGCTCTGAGGAAACTCAAGGCTTCCTAGTGTGTTCTAGCAAGTGAATAGTGTCCCTAAAAGGCAATGTTCAAGGCATTTTGAGACCACTTTTTGAAAACACTTTGCAGAATTCTTCAAAGATGTTATGTAAATTATTCTGCATCTCCCTGCCTGCCAAGCAAGCACACACTGAGAGGACCTTGCTGTCTGTGGGCACTCTTCACAGAGGGGCAAACAAAGGCCAGGCCTAAGTGTGCACCCAAGCACAGCCATCCTTTCACGGAAAAAGCAACAGGTGATGACCTTTAGTGACAGAGGGGTTGACATCTTTGAATCCACAACCTACAGAAACACAGTGCCCACAACCAACTCACCAGTCCCCAAGCCTCAGGAGCCCAAGGGACTTGTATTCATAGCCTCTCAGTTCCCTGATCCTGCACCATTGTCCACCCAAGCATTAGTAGGCAGGACAACTAATTAGGAGCATTCCGATTTAACAAGCAGAAAAACAAAGCATGACAGCTTGCTTGTGTCTGCAGTCGCCACATTGCCTTCAGAAACCCATGAACACAGTCTGGGGCAGGACACGAATGAGCCTCCAATAAAACACCACTAAATCTGTCAGCTGCTTTAGCCAGGGTGGATCCAACCAATTAACAAGCTAGGAAAAAGGATCATACATTATTTGGAGATCAACTTATGCCTTTTAAATAAGTGAATTTTTACAAAATGAATGTGTATTTCTGTCGAAGAGCTTTCCTGGGTGGAGGGAAAGGATTAAATGTTATTCTTTGAAGGCTCGACTGGTTGGCAGTAGAGCAAATGGGAAGTCACTGCTTCTCAGGAAGGCAGGTGTCTCTTGAGAATGTTCTGAGCAACATGTGCCTCATGCTCAGATTCTCAGGCCATTGCAGATCTTGTGGGAGTGGAAAGGGCAGAGTGGCAAGTGCTAGGGACCAGAGCCAGACCAGAGATCTTTAGTCTCTGGCTTCCTTACCACCAGTCCTAGCTACTGGGCATTTATATTTTGCTGTGGATGGCAGTTAGCTGAGGGGTTAAAGCAGGTGGTTAACATGGTGATGGTACAGATTATTAGTTACACACACTAGTTAGTCTTTGCCCTGTTCTATAGACTCAGCTACCCAACTATAGTCTGGTTCACAGACATACTAAAGGATTGGGAGATGTGGTAGAGACAGTGACCGAAAATGTAGGTAGCTAAGCACAAAGTTACTGCCCTTTCAGGAAAACCAGACCAGGAAGATGAGCCAGTGTGAGAGTAGTGGACAGACAGCCCCATTGTCCAGGTGGTAAATGAAAGGATTTTGCCCTGAATGGGAAGCTGCAGCAGTGGGAGGCTGGGAGGCGGAACCAAGGGGCTCTATCTTGAGGTCACCTTTCCCGCCCCTAAGCAATTTACCTGTGGCGCGAAATAAATTCCAATGGGTTACCTGTGCATCAGTAATGCCCCTTAGGCACCACGCCAAACCTAAGCTATAAATGCCCCCACACCACGTGTGGGGCAGAGAGAAAGCCAGACCCCGGAGGTCATGGAGTTTCTCTCCACATTCTTAAAGGCCACTTTTATTTCATATTTCTTATCTTTTTAGCCACGCCGAAAATTCTATCAGTAAAGAGGTCAGCCTAGGCTCCCAAAAGCCCTCAGGCACGAGCAGCATGGAGTGGATTAGGGTGCAGCTACGGAGCTAGATGGTGTCTACTGGTGCCAAGGTCACTTTCCAGGAGCTCAGTTTCCTGTTTTCCACTTCTATTTTGGCTTCCAGTCATCTGGGTGTTGTCATTCTTTTGGCTTTGTGTGCTTACCTATTTATTTTTTTTAAAAGTCATAATGCCGGGGCTGGAGATTTAGCTCAGCAGCATAAGCGCCTGCCTCGCAAGCAGGCAGTTGTGAGTTCAATCCCTGGTACAGATAAAAACGAAAAAGACAAAAAAAAAGTCATAATGCCTACGTCTAGTACCTATAATACCATAAGGCATAAAGACCTGTTTCTAAAGAATATTTACTAAACATCCAGTGTAGGGGTTAGTGGTTTTGCTAGTAGGGGAACTAGACTGGTCCTTGCCCAACTGCTGAGCCTGCTATCTCAGCCTGCAGAATGTTATAGACCTCAGGGGCAGGTGAGAAAGGATTTGGGTCAAAATCAACTCGTTTCATATTCAGAGAAATGGAAATGCCTACTATTTTATCATTTGGTTGTCATTTGTATATTAGTTAGCTATTGCTATTACTCCAAAAATTTCATAACTTATAGTATGAGTGAACAGTTACATTCTCTCATGGTTTTTACGGGTTGGGAACAGCAGATTGGTGTAGTGAGACAGTGTGGAGTCTGTGGGGTCTGTTTTGAGATTGTGAGCTAGATGTTAAGGCTGCAGGTACCAACTACAGCTGAGGGTGGGCCACGCCCACAGCTGCATGGCAAAGCTAGTAGTTCACAGGAGGCCTGCTTCCCCTACGCGGCCGCTCCACAAGCACTTGTTAGTCCTCATGAGGTGGTCTGACAGAGCGAAAGCCAAGTGAGGCATCCTTTGTGTGGAAGGTATGGTCACCTCATCTGCTACATTCCCTTCATTAGGAATGTGCCACGAAAGCGGGCTCCAGTAGCAAAATTAACCACTAAGTCTGGCCTGTATTTAAGGAGAGGAGAACTAGTTTCTACCTTTTAAAAGACATTGTAAGAATATATGTACATATTTTTAAGCCATCACAATCTATAATAATAGCACCTAATATCTTCATATCGTTTTACACATTAAAAAGCATTATTTGTCAGACAGCTTTGTGAGATAAGCCTGCCTTTTTAAAATGCTCATTTTATAGGCAAAAATATTAAGACACAGAAAAATTAGCTAGCTTACCAAGGCTATATAGCTTCTGCTAAGTGACTGGACCCAGGTTGAAGGCCAGGCTCTCTGACTCCGGGACACTTTCTGTTATATCAGATGGATGAATATGCATTTAAAAAAAAAGCAGGCAGCCTCTTGAGTGATCTCATACTTCCCATGTTTATGACACAGAGATACTCAAAGACTGAATAAAATATTTTCAAAAGCACAAGAAAAGGAAAATACAAAGTCAGTCATAATTTTAGTTACTTCCTATCCACAGCCAGGGAGACATCAGAAAGCAAAAGCTCCCTTGTCACATGTGATACACTCACAGGGAATGGCCTTGGGCCCCAGCAATGCGTTTTGGCACACTTTCCTCACCTTTCATTGTCACATTTCCCTTGGTCACATTTCCCTTCTGCCACCGCAAGCAGCATGAGAGGAGGCCCCAAGAGTCCTGCTCCTCCCTTCCTGTTCCGTTCAGATCAACAAGTGTATGTTGAAGGCCTTCTGTGTCAGGCACTGTGCAAGGAGCAGAGGGGATAAAGGTGAATCGGTCAGTTTTTTCTCGCACTGAGTTCAATAAAGTGAGAGGCAGGCCTCCTTCTTTCTTTCTTTTTTTTAGTCAGTGGCATTGACAGAATCTCTGGAAGCACATCTAACCTGGTGTGGGAGACTGTTTTGCAAAGACAACCACAACAATGTCTCCCATCCCACATGCCTTTCTTTGACTGTGACTTTGACACTTTTCCCATTGAAAGGTAGAGTCTTTGTTCCTTTTCCCAGATTTTGAGTGGGCCCATGACCATAAAAGTGTTGATAATATGATTCCCAAGGCCAAGTCCTAAAAGGAGATAAAGCTTCACCTTATGCTCTGGTGACACTCCTGGAAGCCTAGACGAGGCCATTCAGAACTGCACAGCCAGGCCACACACATGTAGGCCCTGTAACTGACAACTCGGCTGAGCCAGAGCTGCCAGCTGAAACCCACCTCTGGACACGTGAATGAAAGCCCCTTTAAAGGACCAACTCCCAGCCTGCAGGATTTCCTGGTCAAGGCTACAGATGGAGTGGAGACAAGCTCTCTCCACCATGTCCTACCTGAACTCCTGACCTACAGAATCTGTGAGCATAATAAATGATTGTTTTACACCACTAGATTTGGGATAATTTGTTTTGCAGCAATAGTAACCGGAACATCCAGTAATTTGGCTGTCAGGAAAGGCTTCCTGCAGGCTATGATTATAAGTTAAGATGTAGGCCCTGTAGATGAAAGCCAGGCAGACAGGAATCGGGGAGGACTGTCAGGGTTTGGTGCCCTCAAACCCCTTACGGATCTGATCTGTGGTATTTCTCTCATGGAGACAAGCAGGAGATATTTTTTCATTAACTTTGCTATTTCTAAAGGACGTTCTGTCTGTATGTTTCAGGATTATTTAGATAAATTATCTCAACAAAACTTTCAGGCAATGAACGTATACATGAAGCGTAAACCAAAGTGTACGTCATGAAACTCCTCCTGGCTGGGGGTTTTCTCCAAAATAATTAATTCCTTCAGCAAATATATATTAAGCACATACTAGTCCTGAAACTGAGAGTTCATTTTCAGAAAAGGTCCTGGGATGCTTTCTGATCGTGACCAAACTGTGGTGCTCTGCTGTGCGGTAGTAACTTCTAGAGTACTAGCAGAGTACTTCTAGTGCCTAGCAGTGTCCCCTGGGGTTGGACTCCTCAGAGCCTCTTGCCAACCATCCCATGTTTGTAGTAGGTCTTAGGGGACCCGAAGAATAACAAGGCCCTGAACAGAGGCCTGCACTTCGGTCTGTGCTCCCCTGACTCTGAGGAGGAACAGGCATGCTGGTGGGGCAGCTTTTCCTATTGCTGTCTGGTTTTTAATTCTTGGTCGAGTTCTAGTGAGCCATCCACACATTTGTTCCTGGACCGGGTTAGGAATTGGTTGTGGCATCCAGGAAGAGCTTTATAACACAACAAATAAAATGCCTAGGAAGCAGCAGCTGGTCACTCACAAGACTGCCAGGGCTTTCTTAAGCCTGGACTCCTGTGGCAGGCACACTGGTTTCTCACTCAGATATGTACAGTCTTCTTTTAAGCTAGTCCTTCGTGTATGCATCCATATAAGAGGAAAGCAACAGACATCCATTATGTGTCAGGCACTTACTGTGGCAGGGCCAGGGTAGAAAACTGACTCAGAACTCAATCTCCTCTGGGTCTGCTGTAGAGGGGCAGACTAGCAATCTTTTCCACATTTTAAAGAAGAGAAGTGTGGCTCTTAACAGAGCTGTGTCACCTGGGATTCCTGCGGAGGCCACAGGAGTGGCATTGGTGCCCAGAGTATACCTGGGATGAGACCTCAGAGTGTGACCATGAATCAGGGCATCTCTCAGAAGAGGGCAGCCGTTATTTAGCAGCCCTAGAGTCATCAGCACTGCCCATTTTCTAAGAGAAGCCGGAAATCCGTATTTTTATGTGAAATTTCTCAATATTTAAACACTCGGCAGGCCAAACAAAACACAGCCACCAGTTTTGACCTCTGCTTTATAATAGAGAATGCCTGCTTTTGTTCTGTCAAGCTAATGAATGCTCAATTACGAGAAAGAATTTGGAGGTTAGTATGAGCTTGTGCTCCTCAATAGGCTGCAGGCCCCATCCCAGACTCTTGAGATACTAATTGACAGACTTGCACAGGCTGACAGCTGGCTCTGAAAGTGGATACACACAAGGAAGTGGGCAAGCTATTCCAGGTCACCCTGCAAGGTCAGGGCAGCAATGCAAACATTAGGAAGGCTGTAGACAGAGGTCAGGTGGCAGAAAGGAAGCTGCACAGTTCCTCAAGCTGTTGGTTAATAAATCATATTCGAAAGGCATCAGCAGCCTCCTTACCACCTGGCATTGCTTTGTGAGGTGGAAAATTAAATAGAAATCAAAATTAAGATGCTGTCGGGAGGTTTTAGGAGGCCATCTCACCAGTGTGGAGCCAACACGGGATGATGGAGTTTCTGCCTGGAGCAAAGGTCTCTGGAGAGGTGATGATACCTGATGCTGGGCATCACAGACAGCCTGGCCACTGCCATGCTTTCCCAGAAGAATCAGAGGTTACCTGCCCATGCTCGATGCCAGCATGCTGCAGGTGCACCAAGTGCCTTGAGCAAGTCACTTCTCATCAGCCTCAAGCGTTTCACCTCTGAAGTGAAACAGTTCCTGCCCCAACAGAATCAGTATGGGCAGCGCTTAGAGCTAAGCCTGACTCACAGGGGTGAGAAGACCAGGCTTTACTAGTGTACAAGTATCAGCATTCATGTTGCTGGGAGATGTGGAGCTTCCTTCAGCATCACCAAGATACCACATCTGTGTGCACTAGATTGCAGCTGTCGCCTTGGAAATCATGTAGGCTATATCCCGATTTTGCTCATCAGATTCTGCAAGGAAATCTAGGCTGCAGGGGCCTTTTGTAGCCCATTTTGCCATCACCACCTGGAGTAGCATGTCTGTAGGGAAGCTACACAGCCCTGCACAGGCACCTTCCTGCTTTCTGCCTGGTCCTGAACTCGCACTCAGACAGCCCTTGGCTCACCAGAGCGAGGCACATGCTGCACCCAGCTCTCCCCCTCCCTGTGCTTTTGCCAAGAGGCCTCTGGAGGTTGCATCCACAGGTGGGTTTTGCCTTGCTGAAAAAGATAACTGCCTTCCACACCTGTTTCTCTGGAGAATGCATTTGGTGAACTGGGCACAGTTCTGAATTTTAACAAAATTACAAGTTTTATGGAATCGTAGAGTTCACATTTTTTTGCCTAAGGAAAACCACCAAGTCTGTATTGCTTCTGCACCTCTAGAAGCAGCTTACCAGACTGAAACACTGGCAGGAATGAAAAGAAGCCCTGTTTCTCCCCACCTGCAATTACAGTTTTACCAGCTTGTAAAGCACACACAGAATGTGCAGCACATTCTTCCCTTGCAGTAGGGGAGAGGCCCTGCTGTGAATGTAATTGGCTTTCTAGCTTCCTCTGACGCTGAGGTGCAAGGAGCTGGACTGAAGGGCCTTTGCTCTTCGAATTAACTCACATTGAATCGTGTTTAAATTCCAGGCATCTCCCTGAATCCATGTGTCCATTAAGTCTTAATGAGACATGGAAACATAGCTTAGCTCTGGAAATACCTCATCCCTGTCATTTCTTAGCACTTTGTAAAAGCTGGGTTTCTTTCTTTTTTTAAAGGAGTTTTTAAAATTTAACTTTTGTAGGGATTATTTTGACCCTGTTAACCCCCGTTAAAGATACATGGCATTTGTGTGTGACAGATTCATACAGTACATCCCCTTTGGACCTTTTCTCTCTTTCTCTCTCTGGCTTTGGCTTTGCAGGATTATCTGTTCTCAAGAAATGGTCCACAGGCATACATTTGGATAGCAAGTTTCCTCATTTATAAAATGAGAAGGTTGAATTAAGCAATCTTATAACTCTTCCTAGCTCCTAGCCCCAGTTCTGTGATTTTATGATTGCTGAGAAGCAACTGAAAGGTAGAGGTCCCTCGGCATGCATCTCCTTTCTGGGGATTCCAGCCAGTGTGCACGAAGCAGCCAGGTGTGGCTGGCACTGGAGTGAGTCGGGTCTCCAGCACTGAGCGCAGCACCTCGGTTCTACAGACAGGAACAAGCTTTCTATTTGCCAATGGCCAATGGTTTCACATTTTTCTTTCAGCAGCACTTTTAAGCATTTTCACAGATATAGTCTGAAGGACTGTTTGAAAAAACTAGTTAAATATGTAATCCTGCTGTCACTTCACTATGGGAATGTTTTCTGAGAAGTGCATGGTGTGGCAGTTGCCCTATTTTGAGAACCTCATGGATTGTTTGTGCACACACCTAAAACGTACAAGTCTGTCAGATGACAGAGCCTCTTGGTACAGTCAAAAGACTCAGTGAGGCAACTTTCAACATAACCCACCACATTGTAAACCTTTTTTTAAAAATTATTATTGGGTGTTTGTTCTTGTTTTGTTTTGGCAGGGTCTCATTGCATAGTTCAGGCAAGCCTTGAACTCACTACATAGTCCAGGCTTCCCTTGAACTTGCAGCAGTCCTCCTGCCTCAGCTTCTCAAGTGCTGCACTTTTTTAAAAAATAAGTATAGTAAATACATAAACAGGCAATGCAGTCATTTACAGTCATCAAGTATTGTGCACTGTTCATACTGTATATGCTTTATAGTTCCATATTGCTTACCAGTGGGTGTTTGAGAAGTGCACCGTTAGACTGTTTTGTCACTGTGCATACATCATGGAGTATGCTTTGCAAACTTCAATGGCTAAGTACATCGCTGGGTGATATGATCTTTTGGGACCACCATCATATTTGTGGTCGGCTGCTGACTAAAACATCTTTTAGTAACAGCTTGATTGTACTGATTCTTATTCTTTGACAACATTATCATCTTAATACCTTACTATCCAATGGCAGTTACTATCCAATGGCATTGTATGCTATGTAAGGACATAGTGCATAAAAGTTGGCCAATACAAAAAAGTGTGTGGAAGATAACATGGCATCTAGTAGATTTTGTAATGAAACAAGCAACACCAGTCAGGTTGCTGTTTACCATGTGTACGCGGAAGCTCACAGCAGAGAGCATTTTATAGGCTAGTCGTGCAAGAGGTGAGCTCAGGAGACATTAAGAGCACGGCGTATCCTCAGAGAAGGTTTTAGAGCTGAGGAATAAAGATCAGAGGAAGGGGACTGAAAAGATTCCTGGCTGGAGCAGAGGTCAAGGGTGTGGAGAGAAAGTAGGCGAGGCAATTGCAGGTAATAAAACTACTGATCTGAATTTCTCCTTTCTCTGCTTACTGCCTGCTGGGGACAAGGATCCATCTGGGGCAGAGTGGAGAAAGGAGTGAGAAAAGCCAGGGTTTTCAGCCTGCCCACTCCATCCCTTAACCCTTAAGGCGCAGTTGCCCTGCAAGCAAGTGCCTGCACTCTCCCTTCATAGCACTTAGCACTGGGAGGGGAAGAGGGGCAGGTCAAAGCCCCCCTGTCCCAGATGGCACCAAAGGTTTGTCCTTTCCCAGTCACATAATATTTCTGGTGCTGCAACCTTTGTAAAGTGAGAAGGTTGTACTTAAAAATTAGATTAATAATAGCTCCTCTTTATTATATAGCCAAGAAATGTTATTTGCTTTTGTTACTGAGTGCTGACGGTAGCACTGTTCTAGCTCTTACATGGATTATCTCATTTAATCTTCACAATAGTCTTCCAACACAGTACTAGCATTACCCATGTTTACCAGTGAGATGAACTTGGCCACCATCTGGCTAATGCAGGAAGACCAGCGTTCAGACCCAAGCTGTCCTGCTGTGTCACATATCCTCATTTAGGTTTTCTTTTTTTTCAGTTTTATATAAAATGGTTCAGGCTTACCAAACCATAAAGAAGAACAAATGCTGTCAGCTACATGGTTGCCCAGGAGCTGAAGAATTCCCTTTGGACAAACAGACACTCACTCTAAGCCACTGCGTTGGCTTCTTTCAGCATGAACATTCCCCCTTTCTAGGGGTAAACCACTACAGAGAGTCCCCTGGCAGCAGAGCAAAGTGGCCCGCAGAGCTGAAGCTCCATGCTCCCTTTCTCTGGGTGAAAGAAGGGAATGAAGGGGCAGACAGTGGAAGAGCAGCAGGCACCTGTGCCCTTCACTGGCCCAGAGTGCCAACAGCACACAGTAGGCAACCCAGAGACTCCACGCACATACTGTGTCACACCCAGGTTCCCCCAAGTAGGCTGGAACTCTGCAGTTACTTCCAGGCCAATTTTAACTAGTGCCTTCATATAAAAATACTTTCATTCTGTCCATGTCCATGACCTGTGGCCAGCAGCATTTTACAATGAAGGAGTGGGTAATACACAGAATATATTTCCCATAGGGGACAGCGAGCCAATTACATGTAGATTTATGATGCTACAAACTTGCTTTTTGTTTTGATTTTTAAAAATTTGCCTTGAGCGCAACTATGGCAGACTTCTGCCCATGCCCGCTCCATACAGTCATGTCTGTGACTAATTTCAGTCCTCTTCCCTTCCATCAGTTGAAGCCATGGGTATACATGTGTATCAGAAATGATTCTTGGCTGCTCAGGAGCCTGCATGTTTTAAGTTCTGCTAGCGTCTTTCCCACCAAATGTGGTTAGAAAACCCAGCTTCTCTAGGATTGCCATTGGTGTAAAGGTTTCCTTCTGAAAGGGTAGCAGTATTTCTGATGCAGCTGGCATTTTAGGTGTGTATATAATTTACCAAATTGTTGACCACTCAGCTCTTATTCAGTGGTCACAAAAGGAATTAGCAGCCCTCCCCTGCTACCCCAAAACCCAAAGAAGGAAGGGTGTTACTTGGCTTTGACCCAGAGGCCTGCTGGCAAACAGAGTTAAACAGCAGCACAGTGGTACGTTTTGGCCATAAAAGGCTTTGGGGTGGCAGAAAGGGCCAAAATAGTTGTGGCATAAGTTGGCTAGGATATTAAGCAAATCTGAGTTTAATTTAACATAGAAACAACACCTCCCACCCGCACCCTGCTGGTTGGAATCAGCTCAAGAGGCCATTCAAATGCTGGCAGAGCAAGATAGGCAATGGCTCTGCACAGCCTAGGAAGATGGAAGGAGAAGGAAGGGACACCGGGATGGGCTGGGGTGGGGGCTGAAAGTGGATCTTGAGGTTTGAATTCCTTCTGTGAGTTTGCTTAAGCCACATTGCCTAAGCTTAGAATAGAGAGGCAGGCAGTCTGTCTCCTTGGGATAAGGAAGGATTTGGAACTCAGTGACTGTGAGGTCCTGGCCCCTACTGTGTTTCTGGTTTGTTTTGTTAGCAGGAGCAAGTTATTCTAGTTTCTTGCTTCTGGATTTTCTTCAGCACACTTACAATGATGAGTCCCTACCTCACCGATGGTGGCTGGTGGCGGGCTGGGCTGAACGGGGTAATGATGGGGTGGGGAGAGAAGTTGATTCAGCTGCCTAAGACGAGGGAGGTAGGAGAACTTCAGACCTCAGAGGCAGCTTCCGAATCCACGGCAGGTGGAGCGGCCAGGGTGCCACAAGGCTGAAGTCATCTCCATCCAGGAGAGAGTTGCAAGGCCTCTGAGCCACTGGTGCGCCAGCCTTGCCAGTGAGCAAAACCAGCGTTTTGTCCAAACTGCAGCTGTGTTGCTCAGGAACTGGTTAGCAGTAGAGAAGCTGAAGTGTTTAGAGGAGTGAGTGCAGCCTAACCAACCAGAAATGATTGCTATACACACAGAAGTGGTAATCATTGTAAGTTTTGTGTTGCATATATTTACCACAATTTAAAAAGAAAGAAAAAAGAAAGAGCAGCATCCCTTTTCACAGCAAACAGTTACGAGCACCCCAGGAAAGTACTGTCACTGCCTGACTTGTGGACCTCATTTTAGCACTCTTGAGGATCCGTTCTGTGCTCGGTACTGTGCACTGTGAGGTCCTGTACTCTGTGAGGTGTGAGACAGGGCACAGTTTGTGGGCCGGCGTGTGCTGAAGGAGCCCCGTGAGCTGCGAGCAGAGAGAGGCACACAGGAGGACAGGCAGCCTCGCCCCTTAACCGGGGCTGCAGAGCCACACCTGCCAAGGTCCTTGGGTCCCAGTCAGGAGCTGGGCTCTTACCAAGACTCTGCTGCGCCTAAGCGAATAAAATAAAATGTCACCTGAGCGAGGTTTCGGGTCTGCTCACACGAACTTTTGAAAGTAATTTCTGAGGAGAAAGATTCAACCTTGAACTCAAGTCTTTATCTTATCTGTCGGGCTCACCCTCCAGAGAGCACAGAAGGTGCCCATAAGTCAGGACGAGGAGCCCTCACGGTCATGGCAGGGGTGTGCAGGTGGGTGCCAGCAGCGTCCCGGTGCCAGTGACATTTCTCTTTTTCTCTTTAGGACCACATGGTCTTAAAGCAGACAGTTGGCTTTCAGGTAACTTCAGAGAACTACAGGGCGGGGTTACTTCAGCGTGGTTTCTGAGAGGCAGCTTAGCATAAGAGCTGAAGGCATCGAATCTGAAACGGACAGTGGCCAACACATGTCTATACCCATACCTACTGGGTTTCTCTGAGCACGTTCCTTAAATCTGTTTTGCCTCAGTTTCCTTCTCTGTAAGATAAAACCAGTTAACAAACCTATCCCACAGGACTGTGAGTCAGTGAGGTAGAAATATGTAAAGCGCCTTGGAGATGGCTTCTCATGGCATGAGGGCTCTGAGTGCTGCTAGAGAAACCCTACTGCAGTGTGAGCAAAGCTTACTGGCTGGTAAAGCTGTATAAGGCTTTCTCATGCTCCCTCTGACCACAGGTTGTTTCTTTCCCGTGTTCTTTTTTCTGACCAGCAACTCCAACTATCCATGAGTAGCAAGAACGCCTTCACTGTCTGAAATACCTCCAGGGGATTCTGTAGGTGAACAGCGTGACATGTATTTCACATCCTACTTCTGTCACTACTCTCAATCTTTTCTAGTTTAGGTGACCTCAATTTCTTTGTCTCTGACTTGGATACTAATGTTTCAAATGACTGATGAACTAGCAAAATAAATCCTGACATATGTGAGAAAATAAGTGTAATAAAAATACTTTTTCAGATGACCCAGGAGATATCATCAACGCCGGCATTTAAAGTAATACAATGAAAGTAATGCTATAGTCGTTTTGCTTTGCCGTTCATATCCTTAAAAGCAGTATCATAAAGCTGAGTGACTGGGCTAGTAGAAGAAGCAAAAAGAGACTGGAATCACCACACTATCTAGCTCAAATTCAAAGTTCAAGTTTGGTGGGTGATATCACTACTAATATTGTAAATTTAAATAATGTAACTTTTTCTGTTGACTGGACTCTTATTCTTTAGTAAAAAGTTTATACGTAAGTGCAAAAATATACATGTAAACACATACATAGTCATGTATTTAAGGAAATGATTTCCTTTCCAATATTTGAAAATTCTTAGTTAACTTTTATTTTATTAATGCACATTCTTAATCACAATTAGCTGTTTCCTAGGACACCCTATAATTCATACTCCTGATATCACCTTGTGATAAGAATTACAAGTATATAGGCAGTTTGCCATCCTTTAAAAAGACAGTGAAACTAAAGAAAAAGCAGTAACCTGTGAATGGGGAAAGGTGACGAAGTGTTAGGAGGAGGGGGTAAGGGCAGCTGGCCCAAGCGTGGCTTTGGGAACGGTGGAGAGAGAGAACTGCCTGCCTTGAGACATGTTATTTTTCCTGTGGCTTCTTGTTCCTTCCCACTCCCACCTCTCCCAGTCTGAGCTTTGAGTGCAGTTGAATTTTTACCACAGAACTTGGCCAGGTCTCCTAAGGGACTCTCTTTTTCCCATCTTTCCATAAATTATAGGTTTGCACATGAGAGCAGAACAGATGATTCCCATTATCTTTTGGGTTGGGTTAGGGTGGTATGTGTGTAAACCTCCTGCCCACTCTTAAAATATGTGTGCTGGTTCAACCAATGAACTGGTCCCCTCCTCAGTAGAGTGGTTTTACTCTGATTTCCTTGACCAGTGTTGACTGATAAATTTCCTTGGCCTTTACGTAGGAAGTCATGGCTGTGTGATAGCAGGGCCTTGTGAACTGCTCGCCCACATCGCCAGCATCTGGAGCAGTGCCCGGCATTCTACAAGCTCCTGCTGAAGGGATGTGGAGATTTGTCTCCTGATTTCGGTAGCAAACTGGGAGTTTTAGAACATTTTTTTAATTTCATATATTACTTATTCACATCACAGTAAAGTAATTGGACAGATCTGAAAAAGCTAATTTAACCCAGAACATCGAGGCCAGGTAGGGGTAAAATGTACAAGTTACCGAAAGCTAGAGTCAGTGCTAAGAGTTAAGTTTGGGGGCTCTAATCCAAGGTCTTTTCTTTGCTTGTCTCCAAACCATGTTCAAGCACAGGAGTGAACAGGGAAAGGAGTGCACGTGTTGCATTTGAGCTTATTCTGCTGTTTTTGGTGTCCTAAAGGCTTTAAGATAAGTCTTCTGAAAGAAATAGGTCCAAGGGAACAATGCAAAGTAAAATGAAAAACTGTGGCATATAAATTAAGAGGACTAGAATGTAATTTACTTCACAGTCTGGAACATTTTGGTGTGTTTAGACAAAATATGAGTAAAAGGGTGTTTTGTTTTTTTTTTTAATTTCCTGAACCGGGCATGGTGGCACATGCAAGTAGTCCCAGGAGGAAGGCTGAGGCAGGAGTATCATGACAAGTTGGAGGCCAGCCTGGGCTACATAGTGAATTCAAGGCCTGACTGCATAGCAAAAACCCCGTCTCAAATCCCAAAAATATTACAGATGATTTTTAAAAATACCCTGAAAACAAGAAAGGAAGAAGAGAGGTAGAAGAGACGAGATTTATAACAGAAGAATGGTTAATGTTTGCATGATTTAGTAGGGGAGTTGAGGAACCTGCCCGAGAGGAAGCAGAGATGATGACCACTTCCTCAGAGAGGCCGCCTGGCCAGGAAAAAGAAGGCTGTCCGGAGAGCGCCAGCTCCGGCTGGTGTGCTGCGACAGACAGCCGAAGGAGGGCTGACGTGAGCGGCTCAGTTCACAGCACTGGAGGGAGAGACAAACTTGAGTAAGGAGAAAAGGGAGGAGATAAAGAGGTTTCCAAGATCATGCCATAGAGATGGAGGACACTGAGAAAGACAGGCGTTTGTCTAGTCCAGACCCTTCTGAATGATACCACAGACAGGCCGAAAATAGACAAGGTCTAGGAATTGCTATGAATTCCCAGGGTGGCCTTATCTTGTACTTTAATAAGCCAAATATGTACTTGCCCACTATCTCCTTGCCCTAACCTTGACCACGTCCTCCTAAATTAATGCCCTCTCTTTCTACTTGGCCGTCCTGGCAGCGCTGTTGTTCTCTCTGTACTAAATATAGTTCAGGGACAAAAGGAATGGGACACATGAAAGGCAACAGCTTAGGATACATTAATATGCGTCTTTCTTGTTCAGGACCAGCTAATCCATCTTAGGATCCCCCTCGAACCACCCCTTTTTGATGTTAGCATTTTATTTGCTGATTTATTGATAAGCCCTCCCTTACTATATTTCAAACTACGAATTAAAGTATAACTTGTGCTCCTCTGAGGATTAAATTCTATATTAATTCTCTTATTTACTGCAAACGGCTGAGACACTGATTTATATTTAAAAAGCTGATACACTTAGGCAGCCCTGTTTACCTGCATGGCTGATTTATGGCTGACTTACAGTTAAAAGCCTGAAAGCTTCTTTGCGCTGTGACATTTTTGTATCGAACGTGTTGTTTACTCCATCAAAAGGCAAAAACATACCATTCAGGTTTGTGGTTGGCTGGGGAAAGAAGGCATGGAAGGAAACTTACACAAAGTGAACAATAAATTGCCATAGATGCACATGGAACAAGTTATTCATTTAACTTTAATTTAGTAAGATAATTATCATTCATATTCTCTAGCTATCAGTTCTTTCCAGAAGTATGTCGCTATATTACCACATTCCTGACATTGCCTAATGTAGGCCTACACCAGTGTCTTCAGGGGGTGTTTCCCAAAGTGCGAGATAAATAAGAATAGTAACTAACATGTTTTACTCTTCAGATGTGCTGATTACTGTTCCAAGACCATTGCATATATCCATCCACTTGCTCCCCATGAACAATCCATAATGTAGAGTGTACATTATTATTCTTCCCTATCACAGATGAAAGCCTTAAGGTCACCAGCGAGAACATGGGAAGGTTGGAATCTGAACTTAGGCAACTTGTTTTGGACGGTGCTCCTGATTACTATGCCAGGACGCTCCTGATTCTGTGGAATGTCTACCAAAACAGTGTTAATTGATACAGATAATAATTTTTTTTATATTTTTTTAAATTTTACTTAAGGAGAAAAAACAGAAAAAAAGGGTACAAGTTATACAGAATTGTAGAAAAAATAAACAGTAGGAAATCACTAGTTAATATAATACATATTGTCATCTTAGAACTAGTTGTTCAAGTTACAAAATTAAAGCATATAAAGTGGACATTCAAACAGTGGATACAGATAATAATTTTAGGCAATACAGTAGCATGGCTTAAAATTACATGGAATTACATAATAAGAAAATTACTGCCTTCATCTCCCTATTCAGGTTAAACCAAACAGAAAATTTCATTCTGATGCTGGTATGACTTGAACCCTTGCCACCTGCTACCAGTAATCTCCTTTTCAACCACAGAGTTGAAGTCAGAAAGAAAGGTGCAGGCCTTGCCAGCATTTGTGTTAGCTTGATTTTGTGGCCCAGGATACTGGTTTTTTTATTTATGGTGTTCATATATGGCTTCATATTTTAACAACTTAAGTACACAGATGATTCAGTTTATACAGAGTGTTAATCATGCAGGTGGAATGCGGCTCTGACAGTATTGTGAAGGTATTCTCACATGATCGAAGTTTGGGAATCGCTGTCGTGATTTTTCCATTTGGAACTTTGAAGCAATAGCTTTGGCTTTTAATGACTTTTAGTGGCTTTAATTCATAAATGACTTCTGTCCTTGCTGAACTCTCCTGTGCTTTTATCATAGAGATTATCGACTTCCTTGTGTCGGTGTGGGGCTCATCTGTGTTGCAGCTTTCACTGCTCCACATACGGATATCTGGCCTAAACCATATCTTTTTTCTGAAATCGTTCCATTTCTGCCTCCATTGGTTTTAAAATCCTCTTCCATTTTGTGAAATGATAGTGAGATAGATGATAGATTTTTTTGTCCTTTTTTTTTTTTAAATCAGTACCGGGGATCGAACTCACGACCGCCTGCTTGCAAGGCAGGTGCTTATGCCGCTGAGCTAAATCCCCAGCCTCAGGTAGATGACAGATTTTGCTTTGAGTTTTAGTATCCTGGGTTGGCAAAACTAAAAATTGGAAGCTTAAAAAATAAATTGTACTGAGCCAGAACACAAGAGATTTGCACGCCACAGCTAAGTCAATTACAGGGCAGTTCCTCCTAGGGGCCTAGCATTCGTGAGCATTTCAGGAAGGTGACAGGGACTCACACAACCTTTCTTTCTACAGTGTATTCAGGCACCTTTTTAAAAGTATATTTGCAATACCTAAGCACTTTCCACAGAGAAATTATTAAAGAACTCCTGCTTGTGAAATTTTCGTATGCTAGCTAAGAATATATCTCAGCAGCAGAGCACTTGCCTGACAAGCATGAGGTTGTGAGTTCGATTCCTGGTACCAAGAAAAAAAAAAAGAAGGAGGAGGAGGAAGAGGAGAAGGAGCAGAAGAAGAGAAGCAGTTTCCTTATGTCTATAACACTAATTATTAATAAAGTAATTTTTAAAATATGAGGTATCTGATTCAGCTAATTACTATGAACAGTCAGTCTGTTGGTGTAATTACAGAGTTGTCTGTCCCTCAGCATACTTAGGATTCTGCCCCACCCCCTGCCAAAGTCTGAATGCTCAAGTCCTTTGTGTAAAAAGACATTGTATGTTCACATAGCTTACACATGGCTTGCTTGAAATCATTTGTAGATCACTTAATAATACCTAATCCAGTACAAATGCTATGTAAAGTGGTTGCTGTACCATAGTTTATATCAAGAAAAAAAGCAGTTGGTCTATCCAAATATTTCTAATCCATAGTTGGTTGAATCCATGGAGATGAGCCCCACAGATACGGGGTGCCCATGATACTTTATTTCATATTTTCTTTCAAAATAGAAAGTTCAGAGAACAGCTAAGAAATACTTAAGAAAAAATAGAAATAAGCAGTCATTCTTTGGTTTTATTTCTAACATTGCTGCTGTTTTTTCTGGAACTCAGAACACAGAAGAAAATTTGAAAAGTTGGTTTTTCTTCCTCTTTCTCCTTTTAAATTTCTTCCCTTGATGAACACATGATTTCATATGGAATTTCAGAGTTGGTCTAGAAAAAGTCCATTTGCAGACACTGATAGATTTTTCTTTTTCTTTCTTCTTTTTGTACTGGGAATTGAACTCAGGACCTTGCATATGCCAGGCTGGCACTTGTGCTGCTGAGCTATATCCCTGGCCATGATAGAATTTTAAAAGGAAGAGCGTGAGGCCCAAAATGTCCTTGTCAAGGAGGCTAAAGTTGGAAGGGTTGACAGCAGAGTTGAAGTACAAACAAGCAGCAAATTTAAAGACTCCAGCAAGATTTTATTTAACTTTTTTTTAAAGAGAAAAAACAATAAAAACAAGACAATTTCAAAACAAGATGATGGGAAATTAACAGTGGTTATTATATTGTGTATTGTTATCTTTCAAACAATCCCAATCAAAATACCATTAGCATACCTCACAGATGTAGAGAAAACATTCCTAAAATTCATCTGGAACTGGAAGAGACTTAGAATAGCAAGGGCAATCCTGCAGAAGCATCACAATCCCTAGCTTGAAATTAAAGTACAAAGCTACTGTAATAAAATCAGCATAGTACTGACAAAAAAAACAGATCTGAGGATCAGTGGAACAGATTAGAAGATACAGACACAATTACAAACACACTCAGCCATCTTATCTTGACAAAGGGGCCAAACACATTCACTGAAAGAAAGACAGCCTCTTTAATAAGTGGTGCTGGAAAAACTTGTTCTCCATATGCTGAAAACTAAAAGTAGACCATGTCTATCACCATGCACTAAAGTCAAAATGGAGAAAAAAATCTAATATCAAAGCAGAAATACTAATCTACTGAAAAACAGTGTGGGTAGAAATCTCAACAGGGGTTGGCAGACAGTCCAGCAAGTTTTTTGTTTGTTTTTATTGGTACCGGGCATTGAACTCACAGCCGTGAGCTTGCAAGGCAGGCACTTATGCCACTGAGCTAAATCCCTAGCCTGGGACTGATCTCAGGGGGATTGAACTCACAACTGGGCACTTACAAGGCAGATGCTTATGCCACAAAGCTAAATCCCCAGCCACATCCAGCAAGTTTTAAAGCAGCTCATCTGGTAGTCTGAGCCAGAGAAGATTTGGCAGGGTCAAGGCCAAACATTAACCCCAAGCGACAGAAGGGAACTAGCCAGAGAGCTCCCACAAGACTCTCTCAAAGCCCTGTGCCACACTGTGCACTTACAAGGTGTGACTGGCAGGTGCAGAGCTTTTGTTCTACTGACTCTGAGTGGCCGTGGCCTTTACAGGGCTTTCCTTGTGCCTTAAAGGGTCTTCATGGAGAGAAGGGCAGGTTCTCATTCTCATCTACAGGGAAACCTCAGCTTCAGCGGCACATGTGATTGACAGGTTTGTTCGGTTCTGAGTCCAGGCTCCCAGTCCATCTGGAGTCTTTAGTTGTCCAGGCCAAGAGGACCCAGGCAGGCCTATCAATCAACTCATGTCATCTGTCCTCTTGGGATTAGAAAGGACCCAGAGCACCACAGGAGGCAGGCCAGACTGAGCCAAATTAGCACCCAAGTGGGCTAGTAATTTGTCATTCTATTGATTAACATCGCCTAATATCATGTACATTTAAGTAGTACACAATGTGTTTAGTAGTAAGGGGGAAAGAAACTAAAGTACACGCAGACATACAATGAAGAGAATATTTCACGCTTTAATATATTTGGTCTTTTTGTTGTTGTTGTTACTTGTCAGCAAACTCTTACCAACTTTTCTTTACATGCAGTTTTGTCATCTGAGATGAGGTAGCTTCCCCTCTTTCCTTTCCAATCTGGAGTTTGTCATTTCTTTTTCTTGCCTGATTGCCCTGGCTCAGACTTCTAGTACAATGTTGAATAGATGTGGTAAGAAGGAAAACATTTGTCCATTCAGCCATTAAGTATGATATTAACTGTTGCTTTTTCATAAATGCCTTCTAACAGACTGAAGATGTTTCCTTCTGTTTCTAGTTTATTGAGTGTTTTTATCAAAGAAATGTGGTAGATTTGTTACATGCTTTTTCTGTATCTGTTGAAAGTATTACTTGATTTTTTTCTTTTTTGTCTTTTTCTTTTTTTATCGGTACCAGGGATTGAACTCACAACCACACACTTGCAAGGCAGGCGCTTATGCCACTGAGCAAAATACCCAGCCCCGTATTACTTGATTTTTATCCTTTGTTATTCACATGGTGTATTACATTGTTTGGTCTTCCAATGTTAAACTAACTTTGCATTACTGGGATACATTCCAATTGGTCTTAGTGTTTACTTGTTTCTCTATGTTGCTGGATTCAGTATGCTAGTATTCTGTTGAAGATCTCTTCCCACTTTTTCTATAGTTCTTATTTCTGTAGATTTTTGGTAGTACTTTTGCCAGATCACTTCATTATAACCTGTATGGAATGAAATCAGTCACTTGCCCCATGTTAGCTGACGGTAACTCAGGCGGATGTCAGCGACCGCATTCCAGGGCTGCTGCCCTGGATTACAGCTGCTCTGCACATTGTCCACGTGCTCACTGCCCAAGTGCTCAGTGGGTTGTGTGTCAAGAAGTTTTAAAATTCTTTCACTGCCATCTACTTGTGCCCTACAGGGACTAGTTCACATTTTCCAATAGCTTAATGAATTGATGTGAAGACCTGAGCTCACTGGCACCTTGTTTCTTTGGTGATAAATTAGTGCATCTGAAAAGAAGGAGGAGGAGGAGGAAAGAGTAGGAAGAGGAAGAAGAGAAAGAAGAGGAAGGGAGAGGAAGAAGGAAGAGGAGGGAAAAAGAGAAAAAGGAAGAAGAGGAGGGGGAGGAGGAGGAGGAGGAGGAAGATCAGTGAATTCTGATGGTTTGGTTCCTAGTCCTTATCATCAAAATAGATCTAAAGACGAAAAAGAGCTCTCTGGAATTCTTTGCATTTTGTGTTATGCCTGTCTTGGTGACTGGCACCTTACCTCCCTGGAGAAAGGAGACTGAACACCCAGCAGAGCACAGGGTACCAAGCCTTGCCTGCTGAGGTAGAGCCACAGGTGGGAAGCCTTGCCACATTTGAATATATCTGAACTTCAGAGCCAGACAGTCAGTATCTGCCTTTTAGTCTGAATGAAGCACTCTGTGCATGGAAAATAATTTTTATTATTTGACTAGAGCTGTAGGATTACCCAACTCCCATTGTGATAACCCATGCCTTTTATAATGTTTCAGAGAGCGAGGAAAAAGAAAACAAGAGAGAGCAACTCTGACCATGGTCTAAGAGCCAGGTTCCTGTCACTAAGCAATAAAAGAAAGGCTCAAGTAGCCCTTGCATAAGTAGGAATTTGTGGTTTCTAAAGCTGCCCACTCCCCAAACGACTAAAATATGTTATTGGCACTTGGCAGTGTTTCCTGTGTTTTGCTCTCCTTAAATTTCTTTGTAAAGGGGTTTGAGTCTAAAGGATAACCACTGAAAAATGCAGTTCAGCCATAGAACTGTGAATGACTGAGTCTGCATTTAACCCAAAGATGCCTTGCACTGTTTCGCAGAACCAGGCCTTGGAGTCAGTGTTACTCCGGGACACACTCGCAGGCCTAACGGTGAGCAGGAAGACAGCGGAGGAGGACCTGAGGGAAGAAAACAAGGAGGCCACACTGGCCCCAGGACAGTGCTGCCTTACGCAGAGCGTCCTCTTCACACTGGAGAGAACAGGGGCAAGGGGAGGGAACTTGAAGAAAGGGACCCAGGGAGCAGAAAGAGGACTTAGGGCTGGTGCTGCCCTCATAGCACTGACCATGGCGGGACAGAGCGCAGAATTTCAGAGGGCCTCTGGACCCCACTTCGGTTTTTTTCGTTTTGTTTTGTTTTGTTTAGTCTTTTTTGTTTTTATTGGTACCAGGATCAAACTCACGACTGCCTGCTTGCAAGGCAGGCGCTTATGCTGCTGAGCTAAATCCCCAGCCCCCCCACTTCATTTTATAAAAAGTTGTTTCTTCTCATTTTGTTTTTTCCTGGTTGTAAAAGCACACTGATTTCAGCAAACTTGGGAAAGCATGGACAGTTGCTAACAAGAAAATAATCCTCCAGGCTGCATGGTGGGCTCCGACGCCAGCCTTGGCAGCCCGGGTCAGGTCCTCAGCTATTGTGAGCACTTGTGGGAGAGCCCATTGCCATAGTTGGTTTCCTTTTTGCAGGACATTTAGGGCTTCCCAATTCTTTATTATTAATGACATGCTCTAATTATGTTCTTGTACAAGATCATTTTTTTTATTCTAACTTAAGGTGAATTTAAAAGAGGAACTACTGTAGTCAGATGCATTTGGGCTTCTTTTTAAAAAGCCCTGGGTATTTTTGTACTCACTAGCAGTATATTTTCCCTTCAGATAACTAGACCATGAACTGTTGTCATTAAAAGCTAGAACGTGAACTGTTGTCATTAAAAACACCACACAAACATTTGATAATTTTAGAGGCAAAAGGGATTGAGACTACTTACTGTTTGACTTTGCATGCCTTTTTTATTATTTGTGAGACTAAATTTTTTTTACTGCATTTATAACTACACCTACTTTTAATGAATTTATCACATCCTATGCCCAATTTGGACAGTGTGGGATTTTGTTTTTCTTTTTTGGTACCAGGGATTGAAATGACCTCAAGCTTGTCAGGCAGGTACTTATGCCACTGAGCTAAATCCTCAGCCCCATGACAGTCTGTTTTTTAGTTACTTATATATTAAAGCTGTCAGCACCTTATGTGTGATACTATCCCTAGTTTTGTTGTTTTCCCTTTAATTTTCTACATGGTGTTTTTTTAGTAAACACAAGTTTTCAACTTCATGAATTCAGATCTGTCCATTTCTCCACTGTGTAATTTCTTCTGTGGCTTGAAAGCATATAAAGCCCTTCTCTGTCCTCACATATAATTGTCTGCATTTTCTTGGTTGTTTTAATAGTTCATTTTAGGGTCTTGGGGTACAGCTCAATGGTAGAGTCCAGCATACCTAAGACCCTGGGTTTGATCCCAAGCACTAAAAATTATTCTGTAATTCAACAACTTAATGAATTTGTGAAATTTATCTTTTTGGTACAAAGTGATGTGTGTCAATTCCCTCCCCCATGGGCAAATCATGCATTCAAGTTCCATTTTTTTGAGTGTTTTCCCACTGGAGTCCAGTGGTACACACCTGTAACCTCAGCACCGAGGGAGGCAGAGGCAGCAAGATCCCAAATTCCAGCTCCACCTGAGCACCTTAGCAAGACTCATGCAAAGGACTGTGTATATAGCTCAGTGATAGCGCACTGCGGGGTCAGTTCCCAATGCCACGCACACACAAGGGTGCCTCCTGTGCTGACTTTGGGTGATCAGACTACATTCCCTGGATTCTAAGCGCATGTGTTTCTGAGCAGTCATTTATATTCCTTAGTAGCAATTTCAGTGCCGGTATCACTTAGCTGAATTTTATATTTTGACATTTGGTGGCATAAACACATCCTTATATTTGGGAGGGGGTTGTTAACTTATTTTGGAATCAAGAATCAAACTCAGGACCTCACACTTATTAGGCAGGCGCCATGCCACTGAGCTATACCCTCAACCCTACATCCTTATATTCTTGTTTTAAACAATTATCTTATTTGTGTCTAACAGTTTTACTCTTCCAGATCAATTTCAGAATCACTTTATCAACCCAGTTCACTTTTTAAACTATTTTAATTATTGTGCGTACCAAGTGGACTTTTTGCTTTTACTTAAACAGAAAGAATTCGTAATTTGGGACTTGAAAGAAACACAGATGTAATTTAAATTTTTGTTAAGTTCATAAGGTAGAGAATTAACTTAAATAAGATTGAATGATCACAACCAAACGCTGCTAGTGCTTATCAGGAAGCAGCTGCAGGGCAGCCATTGCCTCTGGGGCTGCACATTAGTGTTAATGTACAAAAGGAGCTAAACACACACGGATACTCCAGTGTTGCTGTACTTTTTACCATCCATGATCAAGAATACTGGTCATCTCAGTGATAAAACACTTCTCACTATCAATTCAAAGCTTGTACCTTAGTATCACTCTGGCTCCTCCCAGGGCTCATCTTCCAGGAGTGACTCACGTCCCCTCAAAGTCCTAGTTCGCCTGTGGCGTGCGACTCGCAGCCGCTTCTCCATGCACCCTCTGCTCCTTCCCTCAGACCGTAACCCCTTCTGGTTGAAGACTTGCCATTTTGTTGGGACAAAGCTGCAATTTAAATGTTTGGATCCACAGCCAGCAGCAGGAATGTTTCAGAAATACTCAGTTTTAGCTTTTTGAATGCAAAGGTTGAATACACTTGGAAGGCCTAAAATAGAAATGGGACAAGAGCTGTTTCTCCTTAGCAAGCGATCTGTTTAGAACTACAGATGACCATGGAGCAAGAAGGGACTAATTAGGGGCCAGTACACCTTGGAAATGAGACAGCATTTGAGCCAGTTGTGTAAGATATGACTTGAGAAGAACCGCTTTAAAGGGGGAGAACCAAGCTCTGAGATGGGACAGGCCCGAATCCAAATTCCGGTTTGAATGCATCTTGACTCTGACCAAAAACTCCTAACCTGTCCATATCGAGTTTACTTATTTGTAAAACTAGTATAATAGTTAAGTTACAGTGAGAATTGGGAATAAGTGCAAAAAGCACCAAAACTCACATATGATAGCAGCACTGAACGGTAGCTGTTGTAACCTAACCTTTTCAGGCGCAAGCAGGCAACATGCAAACAGAAGACTGGAATCTAGTGTGGAAAAATAAGCTGTGTTTAGCATCTCCTCCTGGAGGGGCACAAGAGACTTGAGGGGTTCTTCATGGAAGAAATTCCAGCTCGATGCGCATGGTACGACAGCATGGTGACTAGGGCTTGGGCTCTAGGAGTCTAGCTGCCCACTCTCCACTTGCAAGCTGAATGACCTTGGAGATGGGCGTAACGTGCTAAACCTGAGCTTCAGCTCCTGTAAAACTGGGAATGATAAAAACACTGGACTTTTAGGGCTCTTGTAAAGATCAGTACTAATAGTTATTATTATTTAATGCTCACTATGTGTCTGCCAGTGTTGGAAGTGCTTTGCGTATCTTAAACTGGATCCCAGTTAAAAGCTTAGTATGGTGACCAGCACATGTTAAGCGGTTAATCATTGCTGAGCGATGGTGGTGATTATTGCCAATTTCATTATTGTTGTTTTTATTATTTGGTCAAACCTGAATTTTACTGAGATCCCTATGCTGATGGCATAAAGAGTAAGTTGGAGTACTTGGAACTGAGGCCAAGAGTGCACGTTTTACAATTCATTGAGCCAGACGCTGAAGATTTGGGTGTTGGGAGGGACTGTAGCTCAGAGGCGGAGCATTTGCCTGGCAGCTGTGAGATCCTAGATTCAGTCCCCAGCGCTGAAAACAAAAGGCGGCAGCAGCAAACAAAGTCTGTGTCCTTTTCCTTAAATATATTAAACTTAAGGTTTTAAAGATGTAATTTTAAAAAGGAAATAAATGAACCTCTTCTACTTTACCTAAGCTAGTCCACAACTGCTTGGAGTTCCAATTAGCTACACTGTTTTCACTACAGAAAATAAGATTATGAAGGACTAAGTAAAATCATTCTTCAGTTACTTACACTCATGGAAGACAAGGAAGCCAAGGAAAACCGAAACTTCTACAACTCATACTAGGTTCTGCTCTGGTCAGTATTTCCTCTTCGTCATAACTACTAATGAAGCAAAGGAATCTAAGCCTTCTCCCATTTCTCCTGGCCTGGTGCACACAGGTGCTGGAGTAGCGGGACTCCAGGTTCTTGGGGTATACGAGACAGTGAGTGCTACCAGACTGCAGACATCTGCCCTCAGCCCTCCAGAAGGTCGGCTCTGCACTGGCTTGCATTCTTAGTGCTTTTCTCCATTTAGATTTTCCAGACTTCTCAACATGATATTGAAATGCTTTTTCTTTGAATATCCACCTGCTGTAAATCCAAAGTTTTCGTTTCTTTCTTTAGGGCACATCTAGGACAGGTCAGTGAGTGCACTGACATCAAACTAAGTGGTGAAACATTTGAATTGGGTAACATACTTTGATGTAGTACCCAGGGTAGTACAGAATTTTTAGCACCTCTGAATAGGTGGAGAATGAATTTTAAAATCTGGTGTCAATCCTCTTTCTCCTGCTTTAACTGTTCATTCAAAAAAAACCCAAAACACAATCTAAAACTGATACACGTTAGCAGAGCAACCGGGTGCTCAAGCTGGAGCATGTGCTCCAGGGAAGGCAGTCATCAAACGCCAGTGAGGAAGGAGAAAGCCCTGGCCCAGAAAACACATCTCAGCTGGGAGAGGGCATTTAAAACATTCAGGTGAATTCTTAGCAAACACTGTGCCTCCTAGCCGATTGCATACTAACTCCTGGGCTGGTATTTAAAAAGATAAATGTCCAGATTTTAGTGATAATTATGTAAACAGAAACCAAACTTAAATTGCCGGGTATTAGATACGGATGTTGACACTGCATGTCTTATAAATCATCCTAACTGATTAGGCAGTGTTACCTTCCAAGCCTGAACAACTCCTAAGTAGGAGAGCATTCTGCTTGGACAGCACGCCTCCATGGATATATGCCTCAAATCTAATGCCGTGACAGCAGGTTCGCTGATAGGAAATTCTGTGAAAATAAACATGTTTTAAAGAATAAGTGAAAGTGGGGGCTGAGGATTTAGCTCAGTGGCATAAGCGCCTGCCTTGCAAGCACGCAGTTGTGAGTTCGATCCCTGGTACTGATAAAAAATAGAAAATAGAAAAAGAAAAAAAAAATAAGTGAAAGTTGGGCATGATGGCGCATGCCTGTAATCCCAGTATGCAGGAGGCTGAGGCAGGGGGATTGCCCTGAGCTTGAGGCCAGCCTGGACGACATAGCAAGACCTTGCCTTAAAAAAAAAAGAAAGAAAAAAAAAATATATATATATATATAATATATATATATATATGAGTTATAAAAACCAAACATGAAGATTTTCTGTATTTTAATAATGTCTACGTATATGCAATATGCAAATTATGTTTCTAAAGCCATGCTTTTTTTTTATAGTTTGAACACATTATAAAAGAAATGTTTCATAATTATTTAAAAATCAAAGAATACAGAATCTTATGTACTTACCTTACAGTGCTGAGGACCTAACCCAAGACCTCACATATGCTAGGCCATTACACCCCAGGCCCAGAATTACATTTTTAAAGTCTCTTCTGTTCCCTACTTCCTAAGGAAGCTTTTGTTAACTGAGCAGGTCTGTGTCTTCAGATAATCCTCCATGTTTACAGTGGTAAAGTTTTGCTAAACAGGATTAAGTTACAACCTTTCAATGTCTTGCCTCTGCTTTGCAGTTTGCGGGTCATCTGGCCATCTGTGGACACTGGAGGCAGGTGCACATTCAGGGCACAGCGTTTATTTCATTCTTTGTATTGGCTACATAGTGTAGTTACTTTCTCCCTACCGTCATTTGAGTTACCTAAGTTGAGGTGATTTAACCTTAATTCAGTTTTAAACCGAAACAGTTTTCCTCCATTAGGGTCTGTGCTGCTGTGACACCCTCCACGTTTCCCGGTGCACTTGAGGAGCAATGTCTTCAGTATAAACTCATTAAAGTACAGTGCTGGGCTGGGGATTTAGCTCAGCGGCATAAGGGCCTCCCTTGCAAGCAGACAGTCGTGAGTTCGATCCCGGTATCGATAAAAAAGAAAAATACAAAAAATAAATAAATAAATAAAGTACAGTGCTACCGTAGGTCAAGAGAATGCTTTGAAATTTGATAGATCTTGCCAGTTACCTTCCAAGCAGGCAGTCGTGAGTTCAATCCCCGGTACCGATAAAAAGGAAAAAGACAAAAAAAAAAAAAAAAGCAAGAAAAGGTGAAACCAATTTATTCTTCCACTTAGTATCTTAGAGTATCTCTTTCTATATTAACTTTCTTTATTAATATTCTAAATTATAGCCATTCTGATTTAAAAAAAAAAAAGCTACTCAGTTGTTTCAGTTTTTTTCCAATGTAAGATTGAGCATAGCTTTTATGTTATTGGCCCTTTGTAATTTTGTGAATTACCTGTTTAATCTGCATTTAACTTATATGGTTGATCTTATTAAATTGAAAGAGCTCTTTTGTATATTAAATAGGAAATATTTTCCTAGTTACCTTATTTTTAAATGGTATTCTATTATGTACTCTTTGTTTTATTTATATTTATCACTTTCAGGCCGGGGATTTAGCTCAGTGGCATAAGCACCAACCTAGCAAGTGCAAAGTCATGAGTTCGATAACCTAGTACCAAAAAAAAAATCACTTTTATGGCTTGATCATATTCAGTCCACAATAAATGTTTTTCTTATATTTTTTCTAATATTTATGCTTTTAAAAATATTTTATGGCTTTTTTGAAATCTTCAGTTTTTACAGGTCTTATGAAATTTTACATAAAATTTCACATTTTTATGAGATGAGTTAGGGATTCAACTTTATTTTCTCTCCCGATGGCTAACCAGTCACCCCAACAGCATTTACTAAGTGACTTACCTGCTCCTACTTTCTTGTGTACTAAATTCCCATGCATTTGAACCCATACTGTGGTTCTACATATTCCCAGCATACAAATAGCACCAGCACCCAGGACAGTATTCTGGAGAAACAGGATGTGTGGAATCATGATAAGTACTGTGTTGTAAGTGGTGTTTACTGTTCATTGACGCCTGAAGCATAGAATAAAAATTACCAGCAATCTTGGATCTGGTGTGCGGGCTAATAGATAGCACCTCTTTCAGTTTTTGTGCAAGGTTTGTATTTCTCCATCTGTGACCCAGCAATTTATTAGATCACAGCCTCTACCCCGGAACTCATATTACTCATTTAATCTCAGGCATTGCTAGTCCCAGAAAGGCTGTTAAGTAATAATGATAATGTTGAGCCCTTATATTGTGCTTTTCATCCCCAAAGTGCTAGCTAAACATTGACTAACTAAATGCACTGAAGAGAGGAGGGATTTGCAGAGGAAAACTGATATCTGGTGGTACACCTGGGAGTAGATGATCTCTGAAAGACCTTACTTCCCCCTTTGAATGGCACTCAGCAAGCGAGAGAATGAAAAGCTGGTGACATTATTTTACTTCTGTCAAAAATTTCCTGGAGTATTTTCTAATTAGTCTGGTTAAACTCACCTTTTATCCATTTCCCCAGATATTTTCCCTTTCTATATTCCCGAGCTATTGAAAAAAATCCTTTTGATGTTTTCCCTGTTGGTTAATCACAAAAATCATAGAATCTTCAAACTGAAAGGAATCCTTATTGATCATTTCGTTTTGAATGACTTAGCATAATCACTGTATTTCTAGATGAGGAAACTGAGACCTGGAGAAGCTGGTTGATCTAAGAAAAGGTCGTCTACTTCTGGCTTACGGAGGGCCACCACTAGGAAACAAACCAGGATTTCACAGTCTGCACATTTCAGATCACAATCAGCTGTAGCCCCTTTCTCTCCCTCTCTCGCTTTGTGAGCATCTGAATTGCCTTTCTCTATGTAACCTTACTTTGCTTGCATCCTTTCCCGACTTCTTCCCTGCTTTGCTATGGCCTTCGTGTGTATCCTGGCTTTTTTTCCCCCTCTCCTCTTCTTATTTAGTACAGTACTAGAAATTGAACCCAGGGGCTTTATAACCCTAACCCTCCCCACATTTTGAGACAGGGTCTCACTACGTTGCCCAGCTGGATTTGAATTTGCAGTCACTCCTAGAGTGCTGGGATTATAGGCACGTACCACCACATCCAGCAGTGTTCTGATTGTTGTTTGTGGTTCATTTCGTACTACCACATCCAGCAGTGTTCTGATTGCTGTTTGTGGTTCATTTCCTCACCTGATCAAGTAATATTGCTTTGGGTCTTGTTTTTTCTCCCTGTCACTGAAAGCAGGTATTCACATTATTGCCACTCAGATCCTTTCTGAAAAGCCCTAGTGCTTCCACTGTTTTGCTTTGCTTTGTTTTTCCAGCTGCAGTTGCTTTTCTCCTTAATAAAGTTACATCTCCAAGTTCTGGTAACTAGACTAGGGCTAGTTATTGATGGGAAGGCCATTTTTCTCATAGAATTCCAAGCTACTGTATGAATCTCTCAGTAGCTTAACCAGTAAGGCACTAAGATTATCTCCATATACAGAAAATGATACAGGATGTGAATATACAGTTAGAATTTTTATGTTCCCTTTCCATAAACCAAAGGCAGGTCCAATTCAGATCAGATCAGACTGTGGATTCACGTGGGTATGAACCTGCCCCATGTGGACTGCACATCTTGCTTGGGTGCAGGGGTGGCAGGGTTTAGACATTCGTGTTTTTACCTGGCAGCACCACAGACTCACGTGATCATGGAATTCCATGGGCTGATGCAGACCCTCAGGCTACACTCTGGCCCAAAAGCTCTTTCAAGGGCCCTGTCCTTGTGCAGGGTGCTTAAGAAGAAAGCCCCATCTGTCACTTGGTAGCTATGTGACCTTAGTCAGCTCTGTCTGCTCTCTGGGCCTCAGGTTCTTCCTGTATTAAATAAAGAAACAGGGTTACAAAGACCGCTTAGAAATTTTTCTCATTTGCTATCCCAGTGAATCAGTAATGCTACAACTTAGGGCCAAGAATGAATACTAGAAACTTAAATCAGATTTATTTCAGACATAAAGCTAATTAACAGAGTTAATTCTTCTGATCATACTGGGAATTTTCAGCACTGTTTCAATTTGTGATATTGTCATCTGTTTTTCCCATACTGTCATACCTTGGGACTTTGAAACTCATTGAACAAGGCACTTAACATGGAAGCTAGAACTTGCATGTTAAATATTGCCTAATGGCTCCCCTTTCCAGCCTGAATAATTTGAGGGGTATTTGTCATTTTTTTTGATGCTCATTCTTCCTCTCAGAGCAATTAACAAGCAGTACCAAGGTACCACTGTATAAAATACCCATACCCCTGTATCAGATCATTTGGCCATTTTGGGGCTTAACATATTTGAACCACGCTATTGCCCTCAGTATTTGCAAATTCATTTTTAAAGTTCTGTGGAATTTCAGCTTGACTAAGCTAAGCCCTCAAGGCATTTAGTGCAGAAAAATTGTCACAGATAGGCCCCATCCCATAAATTTTTCTGAATAAGAAATTTACACTGTGGGTTTGTCTTTGCTATTGAAATTCCTTTATCTTTTATTCCCTGAGGCTTAGTTTCAAGCAGGAAGCAAAATGTAATATGAGAGGAATAATTATGGCCACTCACAAATTTATTATTTAAATCACAGTTTCCAAAGTCTTAGTAGAAACTATCACCTTTGGGAAAATATCAGATAAGAGCTAATTGGTGACATCATAACAGTCCTTCAGCAAAATGCTCCATTAGCCAAAACCTACATCCTGTTGACCAGTTCCATAATGGATTGGGGGAAGGGCAGCCATGTTTATGTATAAACATCTCAGCATTGAGCCCTGATAAGGAGCTCAAAGGTTATTTATGGAAAGTAGAGTTTTATCTAACTTTTTGAAATAGGCATATCCCACATACTTGTGGTGATACACATTTTATTTTCTGTTTTAAAGAATTTGTGAGTATTAGAAACTAGCATTGCCTGAAAAAAAAAAAAAAAAGAATTTGTGAGTAAAAGCAGTAAATTTTAGAATGGAATGAGGATGCAGAATAGTTTCACTGTGTGTTAGGGTTTTCCGACTTGAGCAGAATCAACAGACTGTGTTTCCCAGCTTCCTGTAGACTCACCTAGCTTAGGTTACTAGACTCTACTTTGCCCACCTATTAACGCGCACAAACGGCACAGAGACAAAATGCAGCCTCTCACAGTCATCTAGCCAAGCAAGTACAAGCTAAATTATATTGGAAGTATTTCACAGTATATGACAATTTTACTGCTGCCATTCCCACACTTGTTCCTAGTGAGCCGCAGGTGGGTTTGCTCAGCAGGAACTGGGTCTTTGAGTTAGACTTTCAGAGAAGAGCCATTTGTCCAGTGCAGCAGCCTCTTCATCAAAGTATTGCTAACAGTAGTCCGAAATCTAGATTTTACACAGTGGTTTGGGCGTGCTTATTTTGAAATAGAAGGTAACTTGACAAACCAGAAAGGAAGAATCAGCCAGTGCATAACGAAATTTGCTAAGAGCTTTTTCTTTTTTTGTTCTAGTGATCTGTCTTGTTTTCCCTGTAGACTTAGTTTTGTGAGGTCCCAAGAGGGTGAAGGTAAACTGACAGGAATCATTTGTGCCTCTTTCCAATCCCACAGATCTCCACTGGCTGCAGACCTTGAACATGACACTGCAATTTCCTGGTGCCACACATGAGTAATAAGCAGCTGTTTCTGAAACTGTGGTTTGGAAAAGGCAGCACTAAGTTATTTTTTAACTTAATTGTAATTTTTGATTGGTCTTCAAGAAAGTAAATCAAATAAAGTCTGTTGTCTTAGTCTGCAAGAAAGCCATATGCCTCAAATTCCAATGCTGACCATCTTGACCAGAATAGAAGAGGGAGAGAACTGTGTATCCCCAGCTGTAAGTTCACCCAGGCAGCTTTCATGGGCTGCCTTTGCATAAGAAGGGTGAGCATATTTGTTGTATTTATCAGCTGACTAGATTGTAGAAGCTGACATTCAACAGTCTCTTGAGTTCTGGAAACATCTGAAGTGACAACAGTTTGATAGAGAGAATGCAAAAGTGAAAAATAGGAAAATCTGGAAGAAGATAGCAGCATACTGCTGCATCTTGTCCTTGTCTCACAAGGTGATAACATGGCAAAGCTTTAAATTACAAATGGGGCTTCATATTTTTTGGACACTCAGTCAGTATGACCATGGTGACATTGTCCTATATGCACACTTCCCAAGT